GCACCCAAAGTTTCCATTGGCTGACTTCAGTCACACCGCCAGCTGATTGGCTGTGCTCACTGTTCATTTGGGAATTCTCCATCCGGCTCCTTTCGACAAAAGTCAACAGAATAATGAAGTTTGGTTGAGCGGGCAGGGCCACAAACAGCTCAAATTTCGGCCAAATACTTTAAAAGCCAGTGTTTTATTTTTTTTTGCTGCCTTTGTCCAATTTTCCTGGAGATGCAACAGGAAGCCAGAGGAAATCTGTGCAAAGCAAGGGGATATGTCCTCTAAGAGCAGGGATAGGCCACCTCGGCACGCTAGCTTTGGTGAAACAACAATACTCCCATCATACCTCTGTGAGTCATGCCTGTGGCTGTCAGAGCCGTGCAATGCCTCATGGGACTTGTAGTGTCGCCACAGCTGGAGTGCCGAGGTTTCCTACCCTTGTCTTAGACAGTTGTCCCCAGTGGAAGATTCCCCCTCACTTCCTGTTCCTGTGTCAGCTCCAAACCTTGGCATTTCCTATCACCTTCTCTACCGGTGACAACGGGTGAATCTTCTCAGAGAACGGACATACACAGCAATACAAACCTCACAGGGCCTTTAACACTTCCTCACTCCAGCTTTACATAGACCAACCAACAGATCGTAGTTAGGATGGGTAAAAGGGGGCCGACATGGCGGGAAAAGGGGTTTCCTTTGATTACAATATATAATCATTATAACTGAAGCCCCTCTACATTCGGAGATCCCGCTGTCATCAATGAGACGTTGATCCCCTTTGTTCCATATCAGCGGTGGCTTCCTGAGAACAAGCGCCTGTGGCAATGATCCAAACCGACCCGTACACAACAAGCTCAGGTTGCAGGAAACACGCAAATACATTCCGCAGCTAGCTCCTGGCAAGTTCTCGCACACACCGAGCGAGTTCTCCCACAAGAGGAAATCACTTTACTGGCTCTCTTACACATGGCCGCCGCTGAGTCACAAGATGGCCGAGCAGCCCAGTGCCAATTACACAACGACTCCCCTTTTTCCAGGCAGGGTGTCACAGCGGGGTGCGGAGCTGTGACAAGGACAATATTGATGTTCTGCCGGTAGTATTATTTCTGCCTGATGAGGTCAGAGCGAGAGTCAGTGACACGACGAGGTGAGCTATAAATAATACTCTGACGTTATAAAATAGCAGCCCGTCCATCCGCTGTGAGCGACGCGTGAAAAGAACACAACGTGCGGCTGCATGACAAAGACATTGTGCAAAGCCAACGCAGGAGGAAAAGTATTTCCTTCTAACCGGGAGGGACAAGTCCAGATATGACCTGTATATGAAAATATACACAGCGAAGCCTCCCAGACCCACCATCGTACCGGACCCATGAGGATGTTCTAGGCTACGGTGTATATAATGATAGCTACGACAGGATTATAGAAAGTACAAGAATCACTAGAACTATGTGCAAAAGAGCTTACAATCTAAAGAGGAAAGGGAAAGATTCAAGGGGAAGGGAGCTTTGGTAGCAGACGTTATGTTGGCGATATCTATGTACTAATGGGAGGAGTCAAGGAAGAGTCAAGCAAAAGTCAAGGAAGAGTCAAGCAAAAGTCAAGGAAGAGTCAAGGAAAAGTCAAGGAAAAGTCAAGGAAAAGTCAAGGAAAAGTCGGGGGAAAGAGAGACGCGACTTTAATCTGCATTATATATGTTTTTTATAAGTCTTCAGGGTGAGTTAAAGGACAATGTCACCTTTAGCGAAGCCCCAAACCCCCAATGCAACCCACTCGGGATTATACTCGCCCTACACCCCGATCCCATGAGCTTTCCTCTGGCATGGTCACATGGTACCGGCTCACTTTTCCTAATGCTGTGCAAGCAGCCCCATTCATTCCTATGGGTAAGTCATACTCAGAGGGACCAATGGAGGCCGCCATGTGTATGGCTTTCCCCAAGGCTGGGCAAGTCTCAGGAGCCAGGTCGCCAACGCTCCTAAAAAGTGATAGCTGGCGCCTAACTTTGGAGATAGAATGGCTCCTGAATCGTATATGAATTTGTCCATCCCTGGCTTACCCATAGGAATGAGTGTAGCCGCAGCAGGCATGAAGATGAGCTAGATTAAAGAGGAATGGATCAGGGAGGAGGGAAAGTATTATACATTATGGTCCTCTGGGTGGTGGTCCATATTGTCTTGTTGGGTCTGTGGCATAGGAAGAGATGGGAAATCTCCCCGATGGGACACAAACAGCATAAAAAGAAAATCGCGATGGGCAGAACCCTTTGCTACTTCATCCACAAAACCAAACAGAGACGTTTTGGCTATGCAAACACTTGAAAGGCTAGGAGGGAGGGTTTCTGAATGCATATGGAAAGGAGTTCCAGGGAAGGGAGGCAACACAAGAGAACTTCTAGAAGAGAGAGAACGTGAAGGGCCTATGGCATGAGGAAAGGAATTTCAGAGAAGGAAGGCAGCACAAGAGAACTTCTAGAAGGGTGAAGGGCCTATGGCATGCGGAAAGGAGTTCCAGGGAAGGGAGGCAGCACAAGAGAACTTCTAGAAGAGAGAACATGAAGGGCCTATGGCATGAGGAAAGGAATTTCAGAGAAGGGAGGCAGCACAAGAGAACTCCTAGAATAGAGAAGGTGAAGGGCCTATGGCATGTGGAAAGGAGTTCCAGGGAAGGGAGGCAGCACAAGAGAACTCCTAGAAGAGAGAAGGTGGAGGGCCTATGGCAGGCGGAAAGGAAATCCAGAGAAGGGAGGCAGCACAAGAGAACTCCTAGAAGAGAGAAGGTGAAGGGCCTATGGCATGCGGAAAGGAGTTCCAGGGAAGGGAGGCAGCACAAGAGAACTCCTAGAATAGAGAAGGTGAAGGGCCTATGGCATGCGGAAAGGAGTTCCAGGGAAGGGAGGCAGCACAAGAGAACTTCTAGAAGAGAGAAGGTGAAGGGCCTATGGCATGTGGAAAGGAATTCCAGGGAAGGGAGGCAACACAAGAGAACTTCTAGAAGAAGGAAGGCGAAGGGCCTATGACATAGAGAAAGGAATTCCAGAGAAGGGAGGCAGCAGAAGAAGTCTAAAAATAGTGAATGTCTGATGGCATGTGGAAAGAAGTATCGGCGAAGTCCTGTATGAAGGAAATGAAAAGTTCTGAATGATGATAAGTCTGGAAGATACAGGAGACAGAAATGTGAATGGTTTTGTATTGGAGGACAATAGGGAGCAATCTGGACAGGTCAGAGGGTGCAGCTTTTCCTGGGGCAAAGGATGAAACTCAGGGACTGTCCCCAGAAAAGAGGGACAAATGACAACGGCAGACATAACAGAAGAGGAATCTGAGAGTAGGTGTCACAACTCTCGGTGTGGAGAGAGTCTGTCAGAAGCAGCTCAGGGTGTGACGCTTCCAGGAGGGGGTGAGGAACACGCAGGTATGAAAGAACTCCGAGAACCAGAAACCCAGCACTGGGTAGGACTGGGACACAGAAACTGGTCATGTGACTTCACAGAGACAACTGACATCCTAAAAATGAACAAGACAACGTCAGTCCGATAAACTCTGACTGGCGGATTTAGAGGAACGTCTGGCACATAACCGGCTATCTGGCACTGCGTCTAGGTTATGAGTGGCAGGAACCGTCATCTTGACTCTTGGCACAATACCGCACACCTCCACCGTGACAACAATCCACAAACAATGATTTATTGGGCACACACGGTGCAGGGTTTGAGTGACGTCTCGCACTTCTCAATACCTTCAACTTGAACAATTATTTGGAACATCCCATTAAGCAGGAGTGGGCAACTCCAGCCGTGCCTCTGGAAGTCATGTCTCTAACCGTCAGTCTTGCACTGCCTCATGGGACTTGTAGTTCCACAACAGCTGGAGTTGCCTGCCTCTGCCATAAACCATTGTTCTGTGAGCCAAATATCTGGAGCATTGTCCATATTGTATAGGGCCCATTGTCTATAAGATGTCTCATCCAACTGCCAGCCATGCAAGACTATTGAGTGCCATGGGACACTGGCAACAACTCGCCAGCAACACGATCGCTATAAAGGGCAGAGAAATTGTCATCTCTTATAACCATGACAACCGTGTCACTTACTCGCTGACCAGATGACTAAGGTGTCACTCCTTTACTGGAGAGTGCTTCCAGCAGCAACGGTTCAATGCTGTGGGAACACGGCCATATTTTACCTGCCCTCTCTAGCCGGTCACGGGATTGCATCATGCTCCATGGCCCTTAATCTGGTCATACATCAGATTCCACCATTCATACAAAACAGTGCGGATGTAGGAATCTGCGCTGCCGCAACCACAACACCTGCGTCTGTCTAAACACCCCAATAGTGACTGTATCTGATAGGATGTAGTCACTGTACGACCGACAATTGTCCCCCCGGCTCCTTTGATTTTCTTTTAACAGAATGGCCAGCTTAAGTTTGATTTTAAAATGAAGAATACACCAAAGCAAATGAGAAAACTACAAGTCCCAGCATGCCCTGCAAATCCCTGGGAAAATTAATAGAAAGCCAACCAACAACCGACTACTATAGCACGAGTAACTGTAACAACCAAGCAATACATCTCTTCTTCTCCAGAACTACAAGCACCAGCATGCCCTCCTCACCATCTTGTCTTGACTTATATTGTAATGCGCTGTGCAAACTGTTGGCGCTATATAAATCCTGTATTATTACAATAATGCACAGACAGGCTTTCTGCGCATACAACAAAAGCAGCAAATTGTGGGAGATAGTATAACTGCACTCACCTAATCCTTGCAGCACCTCGGATCCTGTCATACACCTGATCTGCAGTCCTCTCCCTTTATAGACCTGACACAAGGCGGGGCGATGACATCATTCAGGTCACAAGACATTGAGGTCACCAGTAGGAAGTAACTGGCTGAACAGGTTGTAGGTAATACGCAAGTAATTTGAGTCCTCTGCAGATCCAAACTCCGCACACGTGATATATTTATATATACATTGTATAGAAAACACTGAGGAATGTATCCCTAATTACAACATATTATCTGTGTCAGTGACTTCCACAGGATGATACGGAGCGGGGCCGGTATGTGTCAGTGCAGGTAGCGATACCAATTGTAGCCTGATGACTTAAAGAGAACTCTTTACCCCAACCTGTCCATCTATCGCCCACCTTGACGGCCTGTAGGCATTCCCTAAAGACTCATCTCTTCAGGGAAACCTATCCCACCTCAACCTAACCACTCAACCATCATGTTCTCAAACAATTCATCCCCACACAGCTCCCTCCTCATGTATCACTGGCCCCTCCCTTTTAGATTGTAAGCCCTCAGGGGCAGGACCCTCCTTACCATCTTGTCTTGTATTGTATTGTGATTGTAATGTCTTCCTTATATTGTATAGCGCTGCGCACACTGCTGGCGCTATATAAATCCTGTATTATAATAATTGGCCCCTTTGCCCATTCAGGGCTAATAGTGTCTATTGATAACCCCCCCCCATATCCATCTCTCTAAGGCTGGGCACACACCGTACAACCAGCGCAAGACTTTTGTCTTGCGATGGTTGTAAGGTACTTAAAAAAAACGTACGATCTGCCCATCTTGCATAGGCAGATCGTACTTGCGATGATCGCAAGCCACGCCCCCTGAGGGGCGGGCTTCCGATGACCGCAATGCCGAACGGGGAGTGTGCGCTTGCGCACACCGGCCCGTCCGGCTTTTATCGTATGAACATGCTACACACCCGCCGAACATCGTACGATGCTCGGCGGGTTTTCGAACATGCTTGTAAGTTAAAAGTCGTGCGACCTTACAGTAGCAGAGGTCGCACGGCTTCCACACCTTACGATAATCGTACGATCGCGGGATTTACCGCGATTATCGTAAGGTGTGTGGGGACCTTAACTGCCTCACCTCCTCTCATAGAAGCCTCCCTCCGATGCCCTCCAGCTGTGGTGGAACTAAAAATCCCATGAGGCATTGCAAGATTCTCACAGCCACAGACATGACTCCCGGAGAGAGATGCATCATGGGATTTGTAGTTTCACCACAGCTTGAGAGCCAAAGTTTGGCTACCCCTGCTCTATGGAGCGGGGGGGCATATGACCTTGTCCATGTGAAAATGCTCATCACCCAACCAGGTAAGCTCCGACACTAAAGCTTCCCCAGGGTGGAATAGGGAGGTGGCAATAAAATGTCCATGAATATACATAGCAAGGGAGGTGGACTCTCTGCAGACACTGAATGGGCAAGTGACTGTATCACCTTTAAGTGACCCAATACCTTGTCCATGTAGGTGAAATAAAAGGATCACTTAGCTCGCCCACTTCCCAAGACAGAGGAGACAAAAGCCCTGTGAAAGTAGTTCCAAACTGGCTTCTCAGAGCTCTCACAGGCCTATGGATTCTTCCCCAGCCCTATGTAACAGACCTGGCCCAATCAAGGGGGCACTGTCACATGGGGGGGAGTCACATACTTTATCACTCCAAGCAGAAGAACAGAGCAGCGTGGGAGCAAGGAAAGGTAATCTGCTGAGTTAAAGTCTGCCAATTCTCACGCCTGTCCAGCAATCCGATGTATGCAAACTCCTTCGCTGGCACCAGCATCTCTGCAGTCTTCCGACTTGGGCATCTTCGGTAATCTTAATTGGCCGTCCTGGGATGACATAACGCCCGCACACCGAGGCATCTCAAGACTCTTACACATAGCTCCGAGTACAGTTCAAAGAAGCTTGCTAACCTAAGACGCCTTTATGGAAGCCGAGGCAAACGTGTGTCTCTGCTGCAATACAAAAACCCCTCCTGCTTACAAATATACACTGAGTGGCCAGATTATTATGACCACCTGACGTTTGTAGGCAAATTAGCTATAATTAGGCGCTGAAGTTGCTAGAAGGCCAGACCATTATAAATAGGGAAGCAGGTTGTTTACCACGACAGTACTGATGGGGTGGCCATAATAATCTGGCCACTCAGTGTAGTTGTTTTGATTCCACGTTAAGTGATCCATTTCCTTCTCCCTACAAAAGAAAGGGTTCACTTTAAACGTTGAATTTGGACTGGGTAGGACTGGACAGATTCCTGAAGCCTAAATACAGTCTTATTCAACTAATTTTGCTACCAGTGTTTAAAAATATATCCTGGATCTCTGCAGAGGACAATGCAATTAGAAAATATTGGCCGTGCTTGGACCCACTCATGAGGTCATCCCTCTGCCCTCCGCTCCTGCTTGCATTTTCATATTGTACCTGTGTGCCCTGAATGGCTCCTACTGGGGGGGTTCCATGGGATTACCGGAAGCTAATACCAAAACAGACTTACCCTAGTTATAGGAAATATAAATGTATACTTTTTAATAAACAAAAATAGAATGTTTTTAGAATGTTTAATGGACAAAAGTAGAATGTTTGTATATTATAAGACACAGGCTCCTTTCTTTCCTAGACTATTAGGTAATGCAGCTGCCTTCAGGTGATTGGATCACTGGTCCATGAGAGCAGAAGATACAGCTGATTCTGGAGTCTGCCAGAAGCCTGATTAGAAGCATGATCTACTGGGGCACATTGAGGATCACCAGAATGGCCTCCATCACAATCCTGCAGAGCAAGCAAGGAAGAAGGTTCAGGGGGGAACGGCGTAGATAGGACTGAACTAATCCCATAGAGTCACTAGACCATCCACTGTGAAACCTGATGATCCCTGGTCCTGGCAACAAGTGTGTACAGTTTATATTTGGATCTTGAGGTCAGCAGGTCCACAATCGGCATCCCCACCTGCAACAAAGAACTTGATACACCTCTGGGTTGGGTGACCATTCTCCAAAGCCCAGACGTTGACCACTAAGGACAATTTTGCTCACCTGGAGTGTGCACAGTGGTCAGACTGATACCACTTGCCCCACACTGCCAGAATGTTGAGTTGCAAGTCTGGAAGGCACTGCCTGGAAGAAGGCCACCATGAGGCCCAAAGCTGTCATGCAAAAGTGAATAGTTGGGCAGTTCCTAGACTGTAGGGTCCGAGAATGGGAGCAAAGAGACTAGAGCTTGTCAATGGGAGTGGAAGACTCCGCACAGGTCTTTATCTAAGGTAAGTCCAAATATTCCAGCCAATAAGTTGGCTCCAATGTTGACTTCTATAGCCTGTGGATTTTCCAAAAACCAAAATCCATCCTAAACAAGATTCTTTGTGTTCAATGTTTTCTGCACAATCTACCCAGACGGCCATTGCCTCCCTTTATCTGGGTCTTTCTCAGGCATCTGTGTGTGATTCTTGGTATCTGTTTTTATTCTGTATGTGTGGACTCTGCACAGTACCACTTCTCTTGTCTTGTATGTCGGGTGTCATTCTCAGTATCTGTTTTTATTCTGTATGTATGGACTCTGCACAGTACCACTTCTCTTGTCCTGTATGCTGGGTGTGATTCTTGGTATCTGTTTTTATTCTGTATGTATGGACTCTGCACAGTACCACTTCTCTTGTCTTGTATGTCGGGTGTCATTCTCAGTATCTGTTCTTATTCTGTATGTATGGACTCTGCACAGTACCACTTCTCCTGTCCTGTATGCTGGGTGTCATTCTCGGGATTTGTTCTTATTCTGTATGTATGGACTCTACACAGTACCACTTCTCTTGTCCTCCATGAAATTTCTGCTACACTGGAGATAATCTACCACACAGGATCACTTCATTGGAGAAGTCAAGTAAGTTTAAACCGTTTTTAAAGCATTTTTTAATACACTTTTTGCATATATCTACTGCTTGCTAGCCTCATATATATGCAAAAACATTGGAGGCTTTAATTATACTTTAACTTTTATTTGCTCTCTAATGACTTATCGGACTCTATAAATAGACATGTCATGAGTCCTCACACCTTGAGATAACACGCAGGTTACATCACTTTCCATGTCACACGCACTGAATCAAGTCATCTGCTAGATTGCCCGCTCACCGATATCTGACACTGTCTGTGACATTTATAACTTCTCATGATAAGGAAACACTGTACCTGAGGTTCATCAAAACTTTGTTCTCAGTGATGTCACCGGTCTCTAGTGACTGGATAGGCTGCATTCTCAGTGATGTCACCGGTCTCTAGTGATTGGATAGGCTGCATTCTCAGTGATGTCACCGGTCTCTAGTGATTGGATAGGCTGCATTCTCAGTGATGTCACCGGTCTCTAGTGATTGGATAGGCTGCATTCTCAGTGATGTCACCGGTCTCTAGTGATTGGATAGGCTGCATTCTCAGTGATGTCACCGGTCTCTAGTGATTGGATAGGCTGCATTCTCAGTGATGTCACCGGTCTCTAGTGATTGGATAGGCTGCATTCTCAGTGATGTCACCGGTCTCTAGTGATTGGATAGGCTGCATTCTCAGTGATGTCACCGGTCTCTAGTGATTGGATAGGCTGCATTCTCAGTGATGTCACCGGTCTCTAGTGATTGGATAGGCTGCATTCTCAGTGATGTCACCGGTCTCTAGTGATTGGATAGGCTGCATTCTCAGTGATGTCACCGGTCTCTAGTGATTGGATAGGCTGCATTCTCAGTGATGTCACCGGTCTCTAGTGATTGGATAGGCTGCATTCTCAGTGATGTCACCGGTCTCTAGTGATTGGATAGGCTGCATTCTCAGTGATGTCACCGGTCTCTAGTGATTGGATAGGCTGCATTCTCAGTGATGTCACCGGTCTCTAGTGATTGGATAGGCTGCATTCTCAGTGATGTCACCGGTCTCTAGTGATTGGATAGGCTGCATTCTCAGTGATGTCACCGGTCTCTAGTGATTGGATAGGCTGCATTCTCAGTGATGTCACCGGTCTCTAGTGATTGGATAGGCTGCATTCTCAGTGATGTCACCGGTCTCTAGTGATTGGATAGGCTGCATTCTCAGTGATGTCACCGGTCTCTAGTGATTGGATAGGCTGCATTCTCAGTGATGTCACCGGTCTCTAGTGATTGGATAGGCTGCATTCTCAGTGATGTCACCGGTCTCTAGTGATTGGATAGGCTGCATTCTCAGTGATGTCACCGGTCTCTAGTGATTGGATAGGCTGCATTCTCAGTGATGTCACCGGTCTCTAGTGATTGGATAGGCTGCATTCTCAGTGATGTCACCGGTCTCTAGTGATTGGATAGGCTGCATTCTCAGTGATGTCACCGGTCTCTAGTGATTGGATAGGCTGCATTCTCAGTGATGTCACCGGTCTCTAGTGATTGGATAGGCTGCATTCTCAGTGATGTCACCGGTCTCTAGTGATTGGATAGGCTGCATTCTCAGTGATGTCACCGGTCTCTAGTGATTGGATAGGCTGCATTCTCAGTGATGTCACCGGTCTCTAGTGATTGGATAGGCTGCATTCTCAGTGATGTCACCGGTCTCTAGTGATTGGATAGGCTGCATTCTCAGTGATGTCACCGGTCTCTAGTGATTGGATAGGCTGCATTCTCAGTGATGTCACCGGTCTCTAGTGATTGGATAGGCTGCATTCTCAGTGATGTCACCGGTCTCTAGTGATTGGATAGGCTGCATTCTCAGTGATGTCACCGGTCTCTAGTGATTGGATAGGCTGCATTCTCAGTGATGTCACCGGTCTCTAGTGATTGGATAGGCTGCATTCTCAGTGATGTCACCGGTCTCTAGTGATTGGATAGGCTGCATTCTCAGTGATGTCACCGGTCTCTAGTGATTGGATAGGCTGCATTCTCAGTGATGTCACCGGTCTCTAGTGATTGGATAGGCTGCATTCTCAGTGATGTCACCGGTCTCTAGTGATTGGATAGGCTGCATTCTCAGTGATGTCACCGGTCTCTAGTGATTGGATAGGCTGCATTCTCAGTGATGTCACCGGTCTCTAGTGATTGGATAGGCTGCATTCTCAGTGATGTCACCGGTCTCTAGTGATTGGATAGGCTGCATTCTCAGTGATGTCACCGGTCTCTAGTGACTGGATAGGCTGCATTCTCTGTGATGTCACTGGTCTCTAGTGAATGGATTGGCCGCATTCTCAGTGATGTCACCGGTCTCTGGTGAACAGATATCGCTGTTTCCACTGCAAACACAAAAAATAGGGCAGACTATTTTTTGCGTTTGCAGTGGAACAGAACCCAGGCAATGTTTGCCACGTGTCTGATCACATTGTGGGTGGGTGTGGCTGGGGTGCCATTGACTTCAGTGCACCGCCACACCCCCTCTCACCCCAGAACATAGGGGGTAGTTTTGTGAGCGACTGCAAGGCGACAGCAGGGGCCACAATTGGTGTGAACGAGCCCTGAAGCTTGTTGAAAGCCTGCTAGTGACAGTCTGCACTCCCATTAAGATCTGTGTTTAACATTCTCAAACTGAAGCTAAAAGGATGCTTAAAGCATAACTCTGGGCAAATCAAATCTTAACCCTCGCAGTGAGGCTACAGGATATAGGACGGGGGGAACGCCAACGGACATACTACCATTGCAGAGAAGGAGGCAGGCTGCAGGGAGCTGTGTAGGAGCCAGATGGGATTGTGGTTTAGGTGAGTGTAACTTTATTACCGCTCCCTAGACTAAATGAACAGTGAACTCTGGCGTGTAATTACCTGCCGCCCGACTTCCTAATTGGTCAGGAAGCTGGCCAATCATAAAGCTGGGTAGCAAGTCATTACCCAGAAAGCCAGCAGCATGGCAAATTAGGAATGCGGACAGCGAGTAATGCCACGTCAGCTTCCTTCATGGGATGTCCGGTATTGGCGAGTACGGGGAAAAAAATATATCGCTACTCGATACCGAAAAAACAGTATCTGTGCATCCGAGAAAGACCTTTAACCTGGCAGTGGGTCTGCCTCTACAGTGCAAAGGTTATCTGCTCCTTTTGCCTACAGAATGATTAAAGGCAATACACCGTAAACTCCGTTATCCGGTATTCAACCAGAACTCTCATCTAACCACAAAAAATAATCCTGTGTACTCACTGTTGTGCTCATCTACAGCATGCATTATCCTGAACACGATCGTGTCTATTTGTCATAATTTGCTTTTGATGACTGCATTTCAATATTGATATGAAGTCAATACAAAGTTTATGATACGGTATAGTATGGGGTAAAGCATTACCTAGACCTTTTTAATAGTAACTCTCAAGCAACCAGAAACTACATTTAACCGAAATCTACCAATCTCCGTGGATGCCAGATGACAGGTGAGGCTAGGTTCATACCTAGGCGTACGGAGAGTGTGTGGTGTGTGGTGTGTGGTGTGTGGTGTGTGGTGTGTGGTGTGTGTGTGTGTGTGTGTGTGGAATGGGAGAGAAAAAAAAAAGGTAGGTACTGGGCGGTTTTTACCCATATGCAGAGAAGGGATTAAGGTAAAATGCCCAGACCTTAATACTACTTTAATAGAATAGGGAAAGGCTAGAAGCACCTCATATATTTTTATTTCTGCGTCTCTATGTTGCAGATTTCCTCCCTCACTTCCTTCCAGGTGAAACCTTTGTCAGTTGGACAGGAACTGAGGGTGAATCTGTTAATAAAAATCTTAAAGTTTTTCACTTGAAGTTCACAAAATATTAGCATGCAGTGTTTGAAGAATACACATCGGATAAACACGAGCGACACACATTTTACCAAGTTACAGATCATTTATTGTGACTTCAGGGCAGAGACACAAGACCTTCCAGTAGAGAAAAAGTTGTTTAATGTGAACAGTGTGCGGTGGGTGCTGCATGCGGTGCAGACAAGACTGGACCATACCATGTGACTGGAGGAAAGGTGGGAGCTGCAGGACACTGGAATCGGGCATGGCGGGCTCTGCGGCACACAAGCAGGTAGCTCTGGAATGGCTTACAGTGCCTGTCCTCCAACCCTACGAAGGCGGCCTCAAATTAACGGAAAAAAAAAAAAACCCCACCATCCCGTCCCGAGAGCACTGGGACGAGGCCGGCTCCACAGAGTGACTGTTCAGCCGCAGCTTCCTTAACTGTTTCGTGAAAACATCCAGTGAAATGCTCAGTAACTTCAGCCACCCAGGAGGGGGTGGAGGACACAACCTGTGGTAAGAAGGCATTTTGTGGAAGAGTGGAAGGAGGGGGGTGGGGCGGGGGGGTCAGGCTGAGTTCACGCTGTGATCCGCACTCTGCCCACAACGGAGGATAATCATTGCAGGCAGACCGATCCCGAAACCTGGAAGGAGACAGAAGGCACAAGGCCAAGAAGAAACAGTCAGCCTGGGGCGCAGGAGTCTGGGAGGAAAAGATTATGAGGTGTCAGGTATGAATAAGTGAAGCGAGGGTGCCAAGTGTATAATGAGGAAGAAGTTTGGGGAAGAGAGTAGAGGCTGGCAGGTAAATATAGAAAGGAACATAACTTGCAGATATCATGCAAAGCTGGATGGCATGGAGGATGCAGACATGGCGGCGATGTTAGTAGGTTAAAGTATTGTCGTGGTTCATGAGCCAAAGAAAGGTAGGACACAGAAAAGATGGAGGCAGTGTTACTGCAGTGATAGAAGAAAATGAAAAGGGATTGTAAAGGGTAAACAGGCACACACAAAAAAAAAAAAAAAAATCTGAAAAGCAACACAGGCTATGCAATTATTTCCCACAGGCAGGGGAGGCAGGTATAGTATGAACAAATGTTGGGCAAGAAAAGATGGAATCAGAGTCAATATGGAGGACATGTTAAGGAATTAATGATAGGCAAGGAAGCAGGAACCCAAAGCAGCATGCACAAAGAATACGTTATCAGAGATGGTAGAGGTTAAAGGATGAACATGCAAACCAGTCATGGGGAGGAGATATCTCTCCGCACCTCACATACCCACACTTCGGGCCAGAGCGGCCCTCAAACTATTTGCAGCAGCTCCACTTCAAACAAAAGCGTGGCATTAGCAGGAATGATGCCTGGATGTCCTGTGGGTCCATACGCAAAGTCTGGGGTACAGACAAGACGCGCCTTTTGCCCCACACTCATCTGTAAAAGGAAAAAAACATGGACTGACCAATGCAGCAGCATCCTGTTCAATGGCAGACCTGAGCTGTGTTCCCCAACACCCCACATACCTGCACAGTACTATATAGGCTAAACTCCCCCCACATACCTGCACAGTACGATCTAGGCTAAACTCACCCCACATCCCTGCACAGTACGATCTAGGCTAAACTCACCCCACATCCCTGCACAGTACGATCTAGGCTAAACTCACCCCACATCCCTGCACAGTACGATCTAGGCTAAACTCACCCCACATCCCTGCACAGTACGATCTAGGCTAAACTCACCCCACATCCCTGCACAGTACGATCTAGGCTAAACTCACCCCACATCCCTGCACAGTACGATCTAGGCTAAACTCACCCCACATCCCTGCACAGTACGATCTAGGCTAAACTCACCCCACATCCCTGCACAGTACGATCTAGGCTAAACTCACCCCACATCCCTGCACAGTACGATCTAGGCTAAACTCACCCCACATCCCTGCACAGTACGATCTAGGCTAAACTCACCCCACATCCCTGCACAGTACGATCTAGGCTAAACTCACCCCACATCCCTGCACAGTACGATCTAGGCTAAACTCACCCCACATCCCTGCACAGTACGATCTAGGCTAAACTCACCCCACATCCCTGCACAGTACGATCTAGGCTAAACTCACCCCACATCCCTGCACAGTACGATCTAGGCTAAACTCACCCCACATCCCTGCACAGTACGATCTAGGCTAAACTCACCCCACATCCCTGCACAGTACGATCTAGGCTAAACTCACCCCACATCCCTGCACAGTACGATCTAGGCTAAACTCACCCCACATCCCTGCACAGTACGATCTAGGCTAAACTCACCCCACATCCCTGCACAGTACGATCTAGGCTAAACTCACCCCACATCCCTGCACAGTACGATCTAGGCTAAACTCACCCCACATCCCTGCACAGTACGATCTAGGCTAAACTCACCCCACATCCCTGCACAGTACGATCTAGGCTAAACTCACCCCACATCCCTGCACAGTACGATCTAGGCTAAACTCACCCCACATCCCTGCACAGTACGATCTAGGCTAAACTCACCCCACATCCCTGCACAGTACGATCTAGGCTAAACTCACCCCACATCCCTGCACAGTACGATCTAGGCTAAACTCACCCCACATCCCTGCACAGTACGATCTAGGCTAAACTCACCCCACATCCCTGCACAGTACGATCTAGGCTAAACTCACCCCACATCCCTGCACAGTACGATCTAGGCTAAACTCACCCCACATCCCTGCACAGTACGATCTAGGCTAAACTCACCCCACATCCCTGCACAGTACGATCTAGGCTAAACTCACCCCACATCCCTGCACAGTACGATCTAGGCTAAACTCACCCCACATCCCTGCACAGTACGATCTAGGCTAAACTCACCCCACATCCCTGCACAGTACGATCTAGGCTAAACTCACCCCACATCCCTGCACAGTACGATCTAGGCTAAACTCACCCCACATCCCTGCACAGTACGATCTAGGCTAAACTCACCCCACATCCCTGCACAGTACGATCTAGGCTAAACTCACCCCACATCCCTGCACAGTACGATCTAGGCTAAACTCACCCCACATCCCTGCACAGTACGATCTAGGCTAAACTCACCCCACATCCCTGCACAGTACGATCTAGGCTAAACTCACCCCACATCCCTGCACAGTACGATCTAGGCTAAACTCACCCCACATCCCTGCACAGTACGATCTAGGCTAAACTCACCCCACATCCCTGCACAGTACGATCTAGGCTAAACTCACCCCACATCCCTGCACAGTACGATCTAGGCTAAACTCACCCCACATCCCTGCACAGTACGATCTAGGCTAAACTCACCCCACATCCCTGCACAGTACGATCTAGGCTAAACTCACCCCACATCCCTGCACAGTACGATCTAGGCTAAACTCACCCCACATCCCTGCACAGTACGATCTAGGCTAAACTCACCCCACATCCCTGCACAGTACGATCTAGGCTAAACTCACCCCACATCCCTGCACAGTACGATCTAGGCTAAACTCACCCCACATCCCTGCACAGTACGATCTAGGCTAAACTCACCCCACATCCCTGCACAGTACGATCTAGGCTAAACTCACCCCACATCCCTGCACAGTACGATCTAGGCTAAACTCACCCCACATCCCTGCACAGTACGATCTAGGCTAAACTCACCCCACATCCCTGCACAGTACGATCTAGGCTAAACTCACCCCACATCCCTGCACAGTACGATCTAGGCTAAACTCACCCCACATCCCTGCACAGTACGATCTAGGCTAAACTCACCCCACATCCCTGCACAGTACGATCTAGGCTAAACTCACCCCACATACCTGCACAGTACTATATAGGCTAAACTCACCCCACATACCTGCACAGGACAATATAGGCTAAACTCACCAAGACAGACATTGCTTTAAGTGAATTGTTATTAAACTCAAGAACTCTCAAGACATTCTTTTTTTGTTTTTTCAACATGAAGACTAATATTGAAAACCTCACATTTTGCATCAATCACAAATTTACAAACAGCTCATACAGGTCCTTTCTCTGCTCCTATAATATAAACTATGTGAAACCATCACCGGCCTGAACCAGCCCATGTGTTAAAGAACAATTACACATTGTAATTATTGAGAATAAATGTACGTGCCTCAAAAAAATTAGGCAATGCGCCTGCAGTAAACTGAACTGTTAGTAACTGCTTTGCGGATTTGGAAAAAATTCCCCAATGACATTATTTTGCATCTACTCCTCTAAGCGTTTAATGTACCTTTTAGAAATGTCTCCCTGGCACAGCGCTTCTCCCAATTACTGGTCAGTGTGCAAACACAATCTGTGATTACGGGGCTACATGTCCCATGAGCATTTCTGAACACAGAGATGCAAGTGCTCATTACAGTAATCTGCTTTTAATAAACCTTATTGCACATATTGTTGCATTGGTTTTTCAACTCTTAACACTGCAGCCTATTTACGTCGACAGCGTGGCTTCATGTAGGTGGTACCATGGGGAGCGCATGAGTTATGTTGACTACAATAGGGCTACATAGAGACCCCGCAAGTGAACATGGCCAACAGAAAAACCGAACAATGTGCAGTAGTATTTCAAATGCCCCCCGATCTATTCTTTAACTGGGTGCCCAAAAAAGCAGAACCTGGCAAATTAGTGGATGTGAGCACTGCTAGAGAACCAGGGCAGGGATGCACAGATGGTAAGCAAGTTTGCCCGCATCTGAGGTTTGCACAGATGGTAACATATTACATGGAAAAATGTATCGGTTTCATAGAAATTCCTGCAGAGAATGTGTTCATTACCTGTGCAACGCCCTCGTCCCAGCCACGGATCACCTCCTTCCGCCCAATGGTGAAGCAGAAAGGCTTATTTCTATCTCGGGAAGAGTCAAACTTCTTGCCGTTTTCCAAAAAGCCTTAAGGAAAAGGATAAATAAAAGTTAAACAGCACTCTTCATATGCAGATAACGAAGTTGGATCTGAAAATTAAAAAAAAGGACAAATGATATCGGCATAAAAGGGCAAAAATCTCTGCCACCTGTTATTTGTGACAAAAGGCCTTTTCAGTGACTAGAGAAGTGGACGTACAGGCTGATCTAAAAGAAACCAATGCAGCTCTGCAATCCTTAATAAATCAATAGAGGTGTTAAAGTGACACTAAACTGAGGAGTAAAATCTTAAAAACACATTCAAGTACCTCAACTATTAACAACAATGTATCTTGTGTATCCCTCCGCTGTAGATCCTCCAATCATCTCTGAATTGGTGCCGACACTGTCCTTCCTTTTGGAGGGGGCTACTTTTATTCCCCATGGCAAAGTAGCTGCTGCTCCAAGTTCGCTCCCGTGTTTATTTTTTACAACACACACAGAGACCATAGGGAACAAAAGTAGCCACCCTCCAGAAGGAAGGACAGTGTCAGCAATGAGTGATACACAAATAAGATACATTTTTGTTAAAAATACATTCAAGTACCTCAACTATTAAGATTTTAACTCCTGAGTTTAGTGTCACTTTAAATATAAGCCATCCAAGTACGATTTGCCATCAGCCTCTTGCAGTCCCTGTATAGCAGAGCGAAGCCTAGGGGAGGGAGCAATACAAGGAGCATACTGACGAGGGG